CCAAAGCAGGGCGCCGGAGCCTCGGCCCGGGCGGGTTTCTCCCTCTCCTCCGCTTCCGCAGGGAGCGAGCGCAGCCTCCGGGCTCGGCCGTTACCCCGCGCCCGAGCCTCGCGGCCCGCGCCTCCATTTCCCCGCCTGCCCCTCACACTGGGATCCGCCCGCTCGCCCCGGAACGCGGGGCGCCCCCAAGCTGCCCGTGCCCCCACCCACGACTCCCGTCAGGAAAACTACGGCTGACGGCAGAACGAGACCCCCGAGGACCTGCGACCCGCGGGCCGTGCAGGAGACAGGGGTGCGCCCGCCCTGGCCCCTCAGCCCCGGCGCCCACCGTCAGGCCAGTGCCCAGCACGATCACGTCGTACTCCTCATTCATGGCGGGGCAGGCGCGGACGCAGGACCCGAGAAAGGAGAAGGCGCAGGGGCTCCGAGACCACTCTACGAGGCTGGGAGGCGCTCTCGGGAGCGAGGGAAAAGGGAAGAGACAGCAGAGGAAAATGGAGCTGGCAACGAAGGAAGACCAGCCACCACCTCAGACGGGAAGAGAAGAACCGAGCAGGGAGTGGAGGGAGCGGGAGGGGAAGGCGGTGACTGAGCCTCCGCAGCCGGGGCGTGGCCTGCAGGCGCCGCGAGGGCCGCCAATCAGGCACTCCCGGCACTCTCACTGGCTACGTGCCTGTCTCTCGCTCAACTTTTTCCTTCCCCGCCTCTCGCGAGAGGAAACGGGTGGAGCGTCACCATTTTGGCTTCCGGTTCTCCGTGCGGCTTCTGCCACGGTGGTCTGGGACGCGGCGCGCGGGCTGGGGCGGAGGTGACGGAACAGCGGGCGGGGACTGGTCCCGGCCACCACGCTCCTGACTCCCGCCGTCGGGGCGGGAGCTCGCACGGTCCAAGGTCCCAGAGCTGGACCGCCGCCCTGGAACTTTGAGCGGGCGCGTGCGGTGGCCACGTGGGCGAGGAACGCGGGCCAGGCCGCCTTTCGGGGGTGGCGGCCGTGGTTCCTCTGCGGGGCTGGGTTCGCCGGGGCCGGAGCCCGCCGGAAAGAGTTCGGAAATCACACGTGGCCTGTTTCCCGCCCTGTGTCCTCCCTGTTTGGTGGATTGCCGGGCGGGTGCCTTCGGAAATTGGGAGGAGGAAAAGCGGCTTCTTTTGAAAAAGTAACCCTTAGATGAGAGTGAAGGCCAGGTTTCATTGGGAAGCCGATCTGCACCTACCGAGGACTGTAACTTAAAGCCGCTGTGAATGTCGTAGCTGGTCATTGTATGCAAAGTTTAGGCCCTAAGAAACTGTTCCTTGCTTGCCTTCTACCCGTTCTTCCCTTTTTCTAGAATGATCTTAGGGATCTCTAGCTTCAGTGAGAACACAGGTGTAACAGAAGTTGTGTTCTCAGCTCCAAGAGGCAGACCCCACGAAAGCCTAGGCAGGTGAATTTCCCAAAGGCTTTGACAGTTGGAAAACCTGTTTTTTCAGCACGTGATAAATCTGCATAGTCAGCAAACAATGAAGATTTGGTATTCAAGAACTCAAGTACTTCTCTATGACAGCTATTTAGAGCATGCCTTGATAGACCGAACTTCCTCATATTGAAATCATTCAGATTGATTGAAATTTGATTCAGATTCAGATTGAGGAAAGAATGGAACAACTTTTCACAATGTTTTTCACCCATAAAGAAGGTATATAATATTGGACCATGGACCTTTTGGTGGGGGAGGGGAGAAGAAAGCAAAAGTAAAGTTTAAATTTACATTGTCTTAATTTGATTGTGTATATTTGTGACCAAAGGAATTAGTGCAAAGTTGGCCATACAACTGATTATGCAGCAGTGAGGGTAACTGTTCTATTAGCTAAGTAGATGATGACTAAAGAAGGTCCGTCTGCTCAAGCCTGTAATCCCAGCACTTTGGGAGGCCGAGGCGGGTGGATCACTAGGTCAAGAGATCGAGACCATCCTGGTCAACATGGTGAAACCCCGTCTCTACTAAAAATACAAAAAATCAGCTGGGCATGGTGGTGCGTGCCTGTAATCCCAGCTACTCAGGAGGCTGAGGCAGGAGAATTGCCTGAACCCAGGAGGCGGAGGTTGCGGTGAGCCGAGATCGCGCCATTGCACTCCAGCCTGGGTAAAAAGAGCGAAACTCCGTCTCAAAAAAAAAAAGAAGGTCCGTCTGTTGCGCTGTCTTCAAGTCATCAGGGGGTCATACTACCTCTATTAGTGAAGTACTCTTTTTTAAAATTTTTCTGAGACAATCTCGCTCTGTCGTCCAGGGTGGAGTGCAGCAGTGCAATCATGGCTCACTGCAGCCTCACAATAAAGTGAATGGCACGAGCCCGCAGTCCCAGCTACTCAGGAGGCTGAGCTGGGAGGATCACTTGAGCCCTGGAAGGTCAAGGCTACAGTGAGCCGTGATGAGCCATCCTCCCATCTCAGTCTCCCGAGTAGCAGGGACCAGAAGTACAGGCCACCACTCCTGACTACTGACCCATTTTTTTTCAACTAGCAATAACGAGCCTTTTTCATAATTGCCATCAGCCTCTGACTGTTGAAGTGGAATTTAAGCATGTCAGCTGAATTATGTTACCATGTTTTAGATGAAGACTATTTCATCAATACTCAATTACTGAGAAACTCTAAAACACTGAGATAAGGGAATTGAATTTAAGGCTAATAAGGATCCCTTCCTTACACCTACATTCAGTTTAGTTCTCAGTACAGGACCTATTGCCCTACAGAAGGACGACAACCAAACCTGGTCTGAGCTTCAATGAACTGAGGCAATCTAAAATTCTCTACCTGGGCAGGGCACGATGGTTCACACCTGTAATCCCAACACTTTGGGAAGCTGAGGTGAGAGGATCACTTGGGGCCAGGAGTTCGAAACCAACCTGGGCTGTACAGCCTGAGCAACAAACTGAGACCCCTGTCTCTATAAAAAAATTAGCTGGACATGATGGCAAGAGCCTGCAGTTCCAGCTTCTCAGGAGGCAGAGCTGGGAGGATCACTTGAGCCCCGGAAGGTCATGATGATGCCACTGCACTCCAGCCTGGGGAACAGAACAAGGCCCTGTCTCAAAAAAAGAAAATTCTGTGCCTGTTCTTTGATCTTCCACCCCAACCCATTCTAGTTGCTAGGGAACTTGTAAATGACAAATACCAGTTAAGGTGAAGAGGCTTGAAAGCCACTAATTGGTTCAGTGGATCTCATGCCACAGATGGCAGTTCCTGCTAGAGTGAAACCTTAGGTTTAGGGGAAGTAGGTTGGTTGGTGAAGATGAGTGGAAAACATCAAAATACCAAAATTAGCCAGGCGTGGTGGCTCGCGCCTATAATCCCAGCTACTCAGGAGTCTGAGGCAGGAGAATCACTTGAACCCAGGAGGTGAAGGTTGCAGTGAGCCAAGATTGTGTCACTGCACTCCAGCTTGGGGGAAAAAGCAAGACTCCATCTCAAAAAAAAAAAAAAAAAATTGTGCATTCTTAAATATGACCTAATCCCTCAGTCCAGCCTCTGCAGATCTCTCCAACTCTATCTCGTAGTGCCCCCTGGCTTCTTGATCATTAAACCCCAAACATGCTTCTGTTTCAGTTCCTAGAATCTGGTCCAGCCTTTAACCATCCGAGGGCCTTTGCATTCTTGGTTCCATGGCTACCACCCCTCACTTCCCCCTTCACACAGCTACTTTTTTCACTTCCTTAGGTTTCAGCTTTCCCCTCCACCATCATTCTGTATCTTCACCCTGCTTATTCCTCTCACTGCTTTTATTAGAGTGGTAGTTATTTTCTTGTTGTTTGCCTGGCAAAGTGGATATAAACGCCATAGGAAAAGGGATATTAAGCCTGGACACCCTGTAAAGGATGAGTAACTAGTTAACAAATGAATAGGGGACCTGGAAGTTGAGCCCCAGATCAACAAGGACTGCATGTGATGAAATGGGCATTAGTCCCTTTTTTTTTTTAGAGACGGGGTCTCACTGTGTTCCCCAAGCTGGAGTGCAGTGGCACAACCAGAGCTCTGTGCAGCCTCAGCGTCCCGGGTTGAAGTGATCCTCCTTCCTCCACCTCCTAAGTAGCTGGGAATACAGGCATGTGCCACCACGCCCAGCTAATTTTTGTATTTCTCGTAAAGATAGAGTGTCACCTTGTTGCCCAGACTAGTCTCGAACTCTTGGGATCAAGTAGTCTGCTCGCCACAGCGTCCCTAACTGCTGTGGTTACAGGTGTGAGCCACCACGCCAGGCTCCAGTTCCTCTTGATACTTTGGAGAAGTACAACTTTTCTTCTAGGAAGAGATATTAATACTAATATTTTAAATAGTCTTAGAGATAGGACCTATAAAATATAAACCTGTGTAAAACCTGGATAGCTAATGCTGCAGAGGAAACATAATGGGATCTCTAGAAAGGAATTTTAACATAGTTCCAAAAATATCTAATTCCTAGCTTATGATCATTCGCCCACAACCATCCCCTACAAACTGTTTGTCTGCTCCCAGTCTTTATTTTTTTATTTTATTTATTTATTTTTGAGACAGAGTTTTCCTTTTGTCACCCAGGCTGGAGTGCAGTAGCATGATCTCGGCTCACTCCAACCTCTGCCTCCCAGGTTCAAGTGATTCTCCTGCCTCAGCCTCCCAAGTAGCTGGGATTACAGGTGCCAGCTACCACAGCCAGCTAATCTTTATATATATATATATATTTTTTTTTCTTGATATTGTTTCTTTATTTTTTATGCTTATGACACATTATACATACACACAAATGTATATAGGTACATACATACACATCAACGGCACTGATTTTGGTACACATCAGAATTACTTAGAGAGTTTGTTAAAAATGGAGATTCCGGAGCCCCACTCTGTGAGTTTGGACAATAGGTCCCACATTCTCAAATGCCCCCTGCCCCCAAGGTGTTTTTATACAGATGGTAGACTCACTCTGAAAAACACTAGAACATACATTCTTAAAATTCAGACACTGAATTATGGGTATGATCGTTCTTTCTTGGTCAGAGACAAGAAAATATTCTCAAGACAAGTGAGATTTTGAGTCCAGGTAAAGGAAAAATAATATTTACAAAAAATAGCAACTGGAATGAAAGAGGAAGATGATGGAATACAGACTGCTTTTGGAACTGCTTTATGCATTTCATATTATGAAGAGAATATTTTTCCTAAAATGAGTGAAGCTGCCCTGCTAACAGTAACTTTTAGGCTGAGACAAAACAATATTCAATTAGAATTCTAATTTCCATTAGAAACTGGTAAGTGGAAACACCAAAAGGCTTACAGAAAAAGTAAATCACAAAAATACAAGCTTGTAAAGCAGTGTTCACATTTTTAACTTCAGGAAAAACTTAAGGATTCAAGGTATGAGGCAAAAGTCATAATGGTTGTCAGGTTCAGGAGTTTGGAAGCGCATATAGTGCCTTATCTGCTGTTCCCTAGTCTTTCTCTTGATTTCCATCATCTGCCCTACAAACCTTTCTACATCATCTCTCGCTTCATTGTGCCCACTATGCCTGTTAGGTATGGCCCATGGAAAATTAAGGACAAGTCGCCTAACTCGCCCCCGTCTGATATTTCCTCCAGGCTTCTGCCCTTCACCCTCTCCCGAATGGCGGGATTCTTCTACATTCTACTTGGGGACCTGCTCCCCTCCTTCGTTTTCTTGTTGGGGATTTTTCCCGTCGAGATTGTTTGCCGCTAGTTCCTCTTTAGACTCCATTACTCCTGTGCCTATCCTCGTGATCTCTTCCTCCTCCCGATTCTTGACGCGAGGTGCGCCGCCGGACACTTAGGCCTGCTTCCCCTCCGCTTCCTACTTTCGGGGCCGCCCCTGGCCCGCACGTCCTCAGGGCCACCTGGAGCAGGTACCGCCGCCGAGAAGGGAGCGAGCGATGGCGGCTCTGACGCCAGAGCGAGACCAGACTCCTAATCTTTATATTTTTAGTAGAGACGGGGTTTCACCATGTTGGCCAGGCTGGCCTTGAACTCCTGGCCTCAAGCGATCCACCCACCTTAGCCTCCCAAAGTGCTGGGATTACAGGTGTGAGCCACCATGCCCGGCCCTGCTCCTAATCTTTATTTCTGCTCAAACCAGAATTCTAGATATCATCCTTGATCCTGTCTCCTTTCTCTCCTTCCATATCTATTCTGGTTTTCTATTGCAGTGTACAAACCACTCCAAAATTTAGTGGCTTAAAAACAAACAAACAAAAAAAACTAGCGGCTTAAAACAACAACATATTATCTGTATGGATCGAATGGGTCAGCCAGGTGGTAATTGCCTGGGTCTTTCACACAGCTTCAGTTAGTGGCTGGGTGCAGTCATCTGAAGGTTCTACTGAATTGGACCTTCGAGATGGCACATTCACATGGCTGACAGCTGAGGCTGGCCATCGGCTGGAAGCTTGGCTGGGGCTGTCAACCGGAGCAGCTATGCATGGCCTCTCTGTTTGGCTTGCACTTCTCAGAGTGGTTGTGTTGAAAGAAACAAGAAGTGGAAGTCTCTGAAAGCCTGGGCCCGGAAACTGGCCCAGAGTCACTTCTGCCTTGTTCTACTTGTCAGCGCAGTCACAGGGCACACCAAAATTCAGATGCAAGAACTACAGAGCCTGTCTTTCCATTGGAAGAGTATTAACAAATTAGTAGCCTGCTTGCTTGCTTTCCCTCCCTCCCTTCCTTCCTTCATTTTCTTTCTTTC